ATCTCTGAGTCTTGAGAGTTGACGCATGTTGAAGCTTCTTAGGCCTTGGTCGCGCTGGGTCCTCGTATTGTGGCCGAGTAGATTTTTCTCCAAGGCGTGTGCTGCTGACATTGCCTTCTCGTTTGTTGTTGTCATCGCCCAGGTCTCGGTTCCGGAGACGAGTGCTGGAAGGACGAGCTGGAAGGACGGTGCTATCGAAGAGATGAGCTCTTGTCTTCTTATCGTTCTTGAGCATCTTGGTGACCTCCTTTATGCTTCCCAGAGTTTCCCCGAAAGCTTCCCGCTAATTGCTGAATGAAAACTCAAATTCACCTTCCAAAAGCAGTGCCAAGACAAGAACAATAATTAATTCTCGATATCGACACAGAGAGCTCATTCGAAAACTTTTCAAACCAACATTTTCAGAGATCATTCAAACTAACATTTTCAACATTCTTGATTTCAGCATTTTCCCATATGGTTAGACACTTTCAACAAAATCTCTTGATTGACTTGGGAAATTTCTCAATTTTTCCAGACTTTCAAAAAAAATTGATTTATGAGTGAAGTAAAAAAGATAAAGAAAGTTTAATTTGCTTAGTAAAGAGAGTTTAACTTGCTTAGTAAAGAGAGTTTAACTTGCTTAGTAAAGAGAGTTTAACTTGCTTAGTAAAGAGAGTTTAACTTGCTTTACATGTAAAACTTTTGAAACACATTGACAGTATCTTTTTAAAAACACACCAATTTTATATTCAAAACTTTCTTCATCGTGTCAACTGACACTTAGAATCCAAAAAACTGAATCAATAAACCACAAATTTTTAAATTTTTTTGAGGCTTATCTGAACCTACAAATTAAGTTTTTTTGCAATGTTTAAACAATAGAAAATCAAAAGAAAGCGGTTGCGCATCGCCCAAAAACTGCAAACATTCCAGCAAAGAACGAGATTTTCCAACAGAATGGACTAAACTATTGGGTTGATGGAAAAGTCCTTTCCGATTCTTTGGGAGAGTACCTTAAATTTGTCGAATTTTGACGTTTTATAGCTCATCATAAAGCTGAATTCAAGACGGATCGATTGGTAAAAACCGTTTTGAGATATCTCTTTTCTAAAAGTTTTTACATCTATTTTAGTAAAGGATGGCAGAGCCAAAAAATGGCTGTTTTCACGTTTCGTTAGTTTTCCGTGCAGAAACCTAGGCTAAAAACATGTGTTTCGTGATCAGCGTCAAAAATAACCCCTAGACACGCATTTTCAGAATCTTAGCAAAAATTTTTTGAAAAATATTGTCACCGGTGGAAGTCGAACCAGCGACCCTCAGATCAATAGCCTTTCCGCCGCTTTTCGCGATTTTCCTTCGTTTTTCCCCCTTTTTTTTGTTTTATCATTTTTGTGATGTTGTTAGAAGGCTTTTTTTCAGGAATGTCGTGTCAAGTTGAATCGGAGGAGCACCAGCGACACCTGTTTTTGTATGCATTCAACCGAAAACTCAATGCCGCTTGGTAAAAATGATAAAAACCGGTAATTGGTAAAAACCGTTTTGAGATATCTCTTTTCTAAAAGTTTTTACAGCTATTTTAGTAAAGGGCGGCAGATGTGGCGAATTGCCACTGCTCTGCAGTTAGTCGAAAATTCAATACACAAGTTAAAATTCAAAGTTGATGGATAAACTACCGTAATCAGTCACTAGACGATATTCAGCTGTCCGTTTGTTGTAGCTTGTATACTTAAAAACCGGTTATTTAAGCTTTGCTTTTTGAGTGAGTCTTGTTCTCCTTTTTTTTTGCTTTTTGATCATCCTGTTTTCACATTCAAGTGTTGATTTAATTGTGATAGTGCCAGGTTGCTCCAGTTTGAGCGAAGTTGCCCTAATAAGGGAAAGTTGGATAAATTGTCCGTTTTCAAGAAGACAACTATTGAACCACACCGAGACACGGTCTCAGAAGAAATTATATATTAGGTTGATGCATAAGTCTTTTCGTTTTTTCGTACTTCTGTTAAAAAGTAACAAATTCACGAATTAATCTATAGTTTGCTCTATAAAAAAAGTGTTTTTTTTGTTCAGTTTCCATCTTTTTAAATCAATTTCGGTTCACTTTCAAGCAAATTCGAGAGTGAAAAACGCCTTTTTCGTAAAAATCTATAAAAAACTCTACGGAATTATTATGGAACTTGCTCCCAAACGACATACGAGAAATTCAGTCGCTTTTCATATTCAAGAAACGTATCGATGCTTTAGATCTAGTGGCTCTTTGCCGTAAGTAATTGGCTTATTGATTTCAGTATGTATTGTATGATTAAGTATCACTGTGCATTTCTCTATGATTTCTTTCACTTTATCGTTTCAATAAAGTATTATTATTATAAAAAAAGTGTTTTTTTTTGTTCAATTTGCATCTTTTTAAATGAATTTCGGTTCACTTTCAAGCAAATTCGAGAGTGAAAAACGCCTTTTTCGTAAAAATCTATAAAAAACTCTACGGAAAAATTGGCTGAATGAATTTCTCTGAAATTTTGGCGAAATATCAAACGTTTTTTTTCTCTATCTTTTATCTATTGACACGAAGATAGGTTTTCTTTAGCTAAGGTGTCTAAACCGCATCATCGAGTTAGCCCTTTTTGACTACCCGACTTCATACTCTCAAGAAAATCCAGGCATTAAATATTTTTTAAACCCGTTTTAATGTTATTTTGCAGAAAAATAATTGCTTTTTCTAATGAAATCAACCGTAGTTTAATTGGTGCATTTGTTGGCTTGAAACGGCAGACGAAAAGGAACAAAAACACTTATGCATCAACCTAATAGATCAAAACATCAACATATATTTCTTACAGCAGAGCCAAAAAATGGCTGTTTTCACGTTTCGTTAGTTTTTGCGTGCAGAAACCTCCAACCAATAGTTGGAGTTGTCAAAAAGGTAAAAAGTAGCACACTTGTATTTTTTGGGGAAGAGACGGCTTGGGAATCGTTCCTTTTTCAACATGTCTAGTATTTCTAGTATTTCATTTTTTAAATTTAATGCTTAACTTCTTTTTTTTACACTGAAAATAGGCGCGAAAATAGAAAATAGACGCTGAGGACCGGGTGAATAAAGACAGTAACTATGAAAATCTGGTTCTTTGTTCTTTCTAACCCTAAAGTCTAACTTCACCCCCAAATTGGTGTTGTTGTTAAGAATAAATATCCAAGAAATCCAAGAAAAAACCTTTCCAGCGCTTCCCATTGGATTACTGGTAGAAATTACCAGCTCCCACCCTTTGTCAAACACTGTTTACAGGCGATTGGATGGGACTTCAAGCCGAGTGCCGGTGGCCGAACGTGTTTCTGGTGTTACGCAAACAACAATGGACAGGGACCTCGTGACTCGGGCAACTGGTACCTCCATGTGAACGTCTGGGGATTGTAAGTTCATTTCTAGACTATGGCTAAGAAAGATTTGAATTATGTTCACTCTCACCCCCAAATTGGTGTTATTGTTGAGAAATTGGTGTTGTTGTTAAGAAATTGGTGTTACAGGGTGCGTCATAATTATTGCAACAAGAGTTCAAAGACCGTTTTCCAAACAGCTTTCTTATTTTTTTTGCCCCCTTTTTTGTTGTGTTGCGTTCTATCTTCTTTATTCTTGCCTAATTGCCTCCCGCTCACAAGAAGAAGACGGTTCAGGACTGGTGTGTGGCCAACTTTCCCTCAGTGATCAACAAGGATGAATGGCCTCCAAACTCACCGGATCTCAATGTGATGGACTTTTCCATTTGGGCAATCTTAGAGGCTAATGTCTGCTCTCGAAAACACACAAGTTTGGATTCTTTGAAGAAGTCTTTGACCAAAGGATGGAAGGCGACTCCTCAAGATGACATTCGGGCCGCAGTGGAGGCATATCCGAACCGATTAAGGGCTGTTATCAAGGCAAAAGGCTGTCATATCAAATGATCTCTTGTTTCCTTATTTGTTACTGTTAAATAAAGCTATTTCTGTTTAAAAATCTTCTTCCAGTGAAACTTCTTGGTGTGCAATGCCTTGAGTATCTTGTTGCAATAATTATGACGCACCCTGTATTGTTAAGAAATTGGTGTTGTTGTTGAGAAATTGGTGTTATTTTTATTGTTATTGTCGAAATTTCAAAAATTTAATAATCCTAGAAAAAACTTACGAAAGGAAAACGAAAAATGATGAGGTCATCAAGGTGATAAGGGCTCCCACATGGTCACAACGGTTCAAAAGAGTAATTGATTCGACGCTTTGATGAAAGTTGCCAAGTTTTGCTTCTAGTCAACGATTTGAAATATTTCCCTAAAGATTTACGAGAAATATTCCGAAGAAAAGTTGGGTTTTCAATTTAAAAGCCACCCAAACTTCAACCCCACCATTTCTCTAAACTAACCGTCTCGATCGTCTCGATAACTATGGAAAGTAAAGGTAGTTTTTATCGAAAAAATGATTTGATGCCAATTTTCTTTATTAGTTCTTACACTTCTATGCATATTTCACTTTCATTTGTTTCCATAATGACTATGAGTAATCGAAAAGTTAGATGCAATTTGAAGCCTGTCCACCAGGAACCAAATTAAGAGAGATAAGGAACCAAATTTAGAGAGATAAGGAACCAAATTAAGAGAGATAAGGAACCAAATTTAGAGAGATAAGGAACCAAATTTAGCGAGATAAGGAACCAAATTTAGCGAGATAAGGAACCAAATTTAGCGAGATAAGGAACCAAATTTAAAGAAATTAGGAACCAAATTTTGCTGTTTAGCTACATCACTCAAGTCGGAAGTGATAAAGGTTTTGAAAAGCTGTAAAATTATCATTTTCTGTCAAATTACCATTTTCTGTCAAATGTAAGTTTTAACTATGCAAATTTCAATAGAAAGAACCAGACAAATTCAGGCAAAGCTCTGAGGAAGCGAAACTCGTTCGACTTTTCGACTCTTCCACAAATTCTCCATTTCTTTGTGCTCGATTGGCTACACGCTGAAGAAGCTCTCAATGTCTATCGAAGCAATGAATTGGGGAAAAAAATGATCACCGAATATGGGATTTCTCTCAGATACATATCGGAAATAAACCTCAGAATTGAAGAAAAGTCCTTGCTTGTCACTGTTTTTCCGAGAGACTATCGACGGAAATCAATCGATCGCCAGCTTTTTACGATTCCATTCGACACTGATAACTGGAAATTGTGCGAAAAACTGAATCGAATAAAAGCTTGCCGATGTTTATCGTTGGAACTTGAATGTGTACAGGAAGATGAGGAACAAAGAGAGCAGGTACATCTGTGTCGATGTAGAATGTACAAGTTACTAATAAAAGTTTATTCAAATGTTTGAAAAGTCACTTAATGCTGCAGTTTGCTGCCGTTGAACTGTAGTTGAAGTAGATCAAAACTTGTACAATAGATCAGCTACAAGTTTAGCCCATTTTTGTTAGAATAGAAGTTCGTTAGTTACCGTAAATACTGTAATGGTACCCCACCCCCCCTCGTACAGTCGCGTAGTCGCAAAAGTTTTTTAGTATTTCATTTTTTTCAAAGCGCCCGTACTTTCAAAAAATGCGTCTTTGGTATCAAAACATAGCTGAAATTCAGGGCTATTTTTTGATACCAAAGATAATGACGGCGCGGAGTGTTGCGTAGTCTAGCTTTGAATGAGTTTTTCTCGACACTGGTTTAAGCTACAATGCGCGCTTAGGTATCAAAAAATAGCCCTGAATTTCAGCTATTTTTTTGATACCTAAGCGCGCATTGTAGCATAAACCAGTGTCGAGAAAAACTCGTTCAAAGCTAGACTACGCAACACTCCGCACCGTCATTATGGGGGTGGGGTACTATTACAGTATTTACGGTAGGTCTGTTTTCGTTAGAAATTCGTTGGTAGGATCTAATGCTCTAGCAACTAAACAATGAGTAATTTAAACTGAATACTTTATTTTAAAGGTGATCTTGTTTTTTATATCGATAAATCATGCCATTTGAAGAGTTCATTTGTTTCTTTTTTTAAGAAACATAAAGAGCTCTCATCAAGAGCTGCCTACTCTCATAAAGAGCTGCCTACTTTTGCTATTTTTGTAGCGACTTCGTTCTTGATCTATTTTGATCCTGACTCTATTTCCTGATCCTGATCCTGATCCTGATCTTTCAACCGTACTCATCCAACTTTCAGATCACCCATTTCCTCACCTCTCACAAGATTCTCAAATCTCTTCATCAAGTTCATCGCTTTTATCTAAACGGAGATCCCGAGCTGATCGAATCATTTCTGCCAAACTTCTCTCTGAAATATCTTGCCGAAGTTCATGTCACAACTCCTTTTGACTGTATGGAAGCTAACGATTTTCTTGGCTACTGGAAAGAGATTTTGAAAAACGAGGCCCTTATGAATTGCCAATTTTTGGAAATCATGATGCTAGAGCAAAATCCGCTTCTTGTCAAAGATTTCCCGACTACCTCAAAGCATCTAGAGCTGAACTTTTATTTTTATGATTGGTACATACGAGCTCTTAAGCTCGCTTTGGAAAACAATCTTTGTGTGAAGAAATCGACAACTTTAGAATTAAAAGATTATTTTGATGAAGAAGACTGTGGAGGCTTCGATCTGGTCTATGGGGAGTTGATGAAGATTTTGAAATCAACCCCAGGCATTGAGGATTTCGAGAAAAATCGATTGCGAGCAAAAGAGCTATTCGAATTGGAGCAATGTTGCAGTCGAAGTTCGTTCAAGCATTTAGCCAAAATGTATCAGTCGAATGAAAGGTTGAGCGTTTGGGTGGAAGAAAAGAAAACCGAGCATTTCCGCGAGAATTATTTTATGCGTTTAAAAGAAAACGAAGAGACACTGATCGCTTTGTTCGTCGATCGAAAGCCCTTTGGAGTCAATGAGGCGAGAGTTGACGTCGATTTGTTCATGGTGCCTCGATCATAAGCTTGACATGTTGAACCGGGTTTTTTGTACAAAAACTTTGATGCGCTTTTTTCTCCTTTTACCATTCATTTCACCGCTAATATCGCTTTTTGCATTGCTTATTAAAAGTTTTGTTGTTTTTTTTGAAATCGAATCAAGTGCATTATAATATGCTTTATTCAGTTGAATAGCGGCAAAACAAAATGACAATAATTAACCAGGACACCACTCAAAACACACCCAAAAGATAAATAGATACCATGAGAAAGAATCACAGAGCAGAAATTGCGGCTTTAAATCTAGCCAAGGTGGGAATATCACGAACATGGGGGGGTAAAAGGTTCCAGAATTTAATAACTCGATTAAAAAAGAAACTGTGGGGGCTTTTAAAGGAAACGGAAGGTTGGCGTATGAGAAAAGGCCCCCTTCTGGAGGCCCCCTTCTGGAGGCCCCCTTCTGGAGGCCCCCTTCTGGAGGCCCCCTTCTGGAGGCCCCCTTCTGGAGGCCCCCTTCTGGAGGCCCCCTTCTGGAGGCCCCCTTCTGGAGGCCCCCTTCTGGAGGCCCCCTCTGGAGGCCCCCTTCTGGAGGCCCCCTTCTGGAGGCCCCCTTCTGGAGGCCCCCTTCTGGAGGCCCCCTTCTGGAGGCCCCCTTCTGGAGGCCCCCTTCTGGAGGCCCCCTTCTGGAGGCCCCCTTCTGGAGGCCCCCTTCTGGAGGCCCCCTTCTGAGGCCCCCTTCTGGAGGCCCCCTTTCTGGAGGCCCCTTCTGAGGCCCCCTTCTGGAGGCCCCTTCTGGAGGCCCCCTTCTGGAGGCCCCCTTCTGGAGGCCCCCTTCTGGAGGCCCCCTTCTGGAGGCCCCCTTCTGGAGGCCCCCTTCTGGAGGCCCCCTTCTGGAGGCCCCCTTCTGGAGGCGCCCCGTGGAGAGCCGAATTCAAAGAGGCCAGAAAAGAGGGGGTCGGGATGAATGCCTTTAACAATCTTAAAGCATTCCACTAAATCGATGATAAGGCGGCGTTGGTGTAACGTTTCAAAACCAAAGAGTTGCAATCTATCAGAATAGCTAAAGGAGGAGAATTTGTCAAAATTAATTTTATAAAGAGCAATTCTGGTGAAGTACCTCTGAACACGTTCTATTTTTTTTATAGAGAGAATTTTTTGTTTTGATGTCTATTTTTTTCATGCAACCTCCGAGTGAAATTATCAATTTAACATGTTTAATATGTCAATTGAATATATTGTTATTTTGATATGTTCTTGTTAATTAATGTGTTAATTTACTGTGTATGTTGAATATCAATATCAATTTTTGATACAACTTTTACATATCTTCTTTTTTTTTGGCATTGGTTGATAAATGATACGTTTCCTGGACGATTTTATAATTCTGAACAACAGTGAAAAGAGACAGAGCAATAATAAGACGTACATGATGCTTCTACTTACGCTCCTTTTCCCCAACTAACCTCAAATCGAAATGCTTGCCGAGCATCATTTTTTCAAAGAGGTCCAACTAAAAACAGTTTTATTTTCAACAACTAACTGGTAAAAACATAAAAATCAACAACTATTCAATATGGCCTCCACCAACTATTCAATATGGCCTCCAACAACTATTCAATATGGCCTCCAACAACTATTCAATATGGCCTCCAGCAACTATTCAATATGGCCTCCACCAACTATTCAATATGGCCTCCAGCAACTATTCAATATGGCCTCCACCAACTATTCAATATGGACTCGTCAACACAGGCTTGAAGTCGCTTGGGAAAGTTGTCCACTGTGACATGCAAATAGGCCAAATCGAAATCTTCCCATGCTTTAATCAAGGTTTTCTTGAATCATTAAAGTTGATCAGATCCGGAAAATTGTCGCCACACCATTCCTGTACCACTTTGACCTTGTGTGCTCGAGCACTATCCTTTTTCAAGAGATCCAGATAATTGTTGGCATTAATCTTGACGCTGGGAAAGTTGTCCACTGTGGCATGCAAATAGGCCAAATCGAAATCTTCCCATGCTTTAATGTTACAACCTAATATTACAGTTTCCCATATTCTTTCTCCTTTCATTAAAAAAATAGTTTATCTTTATTTATTTGTAGCAATAAACTTGAAGCCAATCTTTATAAAAAATATTATTAAATAAATACCAAAGCAGATTTTCTAGCTTTTTAGAAGGAAATCAGTATCCATTGATTACTCTTATTATAACCTTTATCTATAAAGATATTTTTTTCCAAATGTACACAAGAATGTTCTCAAGCCACGACATAATCGAAAATTAAATATTCTATGCATTTTATAGCCAAATAGCTCTCAAACTTCACCTGTTCCAAGGTTCTTGTGATTAGTGGGCCTTTTTGATCCTCTTCCTGGTTCGTTTCTTTCACAATAATATTCGTATTAGATGTTTGAAAACGAGTTCGTTCGTTATGTCTATCACTTAATCTCTGTCTTGTCCACGATATCAGCCTTGATGTGGATGTATGTGATCATCAGACACTCGCCAAAGGAAATGAAGGATTTCAAGAGAGTGTTGCTCATTTTAGTCGTAAGTTAAACATCAGCCAGTCAAATATAAGTTGCCGCTTAGCTGAACATTTACTCTTTTGAGCGAATCGCTAAAAAGAGTAGATGCATGATGTGTTTCTTTGGATGAAATGAGTGCACTGAGTGCAAACGATGAGTGCACTATCTAAACTTATATTTTTCATAAGGATAGTTTCACTGAGGAGCTATTATTGAATTTTCATACATATTAGGAAGGTTTTTTGAAAATTCTGGGAACTTTGCTGCATTCTATATATATTTGAAAAGTATCTAAAGTATTCATAATTTCGAAATGTCAGTGCGTCCGTCGGAGCTCTAGCAGGTGCAGAAGTGAGTTTTTCGAGAAACCGCCAAAATACGCATCCCCTGAAATTTGATGTAGTTATGTTCGGTTTTTAGTGTTTTGCCCCCATCCACGGGCCTCCGCGCGGTACCCAATGACCGAGTAATTAGCGTGTTCGCACCGGGTGCGAGAGGTCAAACATTTTACTGCATTTTACTGGTTAGCGTGTTCGCACCGGCTCCGGTCAAACATTTTACTTTCTTTATCAAAAACCCAAAATATAATAGAAATAACCTTTTTAAGCAAAAAGGACCGCCCCCAACTGGCTTGAGAGCGCCGTTCTCAAGCCACGAGCGGGAAAACCCGATCTAGGCGAGTTTCCCGCTCTTATTCTACAAGGAAGAGAAAGCTAAGGAAGTAAATGATATTATGAAAGACAGGTCTTGAGTAATGGGAATCAATCCTTATTCTACTCACTTACTGCCTAGTGATGCTTTCCCAGTAATGGGAATCAATCCTTATTCTACTCACTTACTGCCTAGTGATGCTTTCCCAGTAATGGGAATCAATCCTTATTCTACTCACTTACTGCCTAGTGATGCTTTCCCAGTAATGGGAATCAATCCTTATTCTACTCACTTACTGCCTAGTGATGCTTTCCCAGTAATGGGAATCAATCCTTATTCTACTCACTACTGCATAGTGGTGCTTTCCCAGTAATGGGAATCAATCCTTATTCTACTCACTACTCCCTAGTTCTTCTTTCCACTTCAGCTTCTTTTCTTAACAATTAAACATTTGAACCGCAACAGTCGTGTTTCTTGTAATTCAAGACCACTAATAACAATTGTTATGTTTAGTTAAACGAAGAATTGTTCTCGATCTTTTTGGGCACAATTCTCTTTCCCGATATCCTATTTCCGGCTGAGGGGGCGGCTGTCCTTGGATTAGGTGCATATTTTGGGGAGGGTGGAGCCAAAGTGGCGGTAGGTTGTTCAAAAAAAAAATTGTTTAGGCAAGTGCTTAATAAGTTAAGCTCTTGGCTTAATAAGTTTACTAAAAAACAAATTGTTGTACGATTTTAGATGGCCGGAACGTTCTTCTTCGGAATGTCGATTTTCATCTCGATCAACGATTGCCTGCATGCGAGAAGTTTCCTAATACATGGAAAGCATCGTCTTCTGCATTTCCTTGTCAAACCATATATTGGTAAATGTAAAAGTAACTTTCGACAACTGTCGATTTGATTTAGGAATCCCTATGACACTCGGTTTCAAGTGTTTCCTGGGAATACCGTTACTCTATCCAATGTTTCGCGCTTTCGAGGATACAAATGTAACTTTTTGAGTATATAAGTTTGAGTTTTTGAGTAACCATTTTGAGAACTACCACAATAAGCTAACTAATTTCAAAAACCTTAACGAAACGGTGCTGTATATGTTGTGTCCGATTTAGATTGAACTTATCGCGGACGTCCGATTTAGATTACAGTCTATATCGGACGTCCGATTTAGATTGAATCTAAATCGGACGGAAATCAAAATCGGACACAACATATATATAGTGTTGCGCTTACTGCATCATTTTGGCTTAATGCTTAATTCATTTCTAGGACAATAACCTAAAAAACAACAATTAATCATAAGATCTACGCGTAATTTTACATAGAATAGAAGAATTTTAGATAGAAACGTATCGATGCTTTAGATCTAGTGGCTCTTTGCCGTAAGTAATTGGCTTATTGATTTCAGTATGTATTGTATGATTAAGTATCACTGTGCATTTCTCTATGATTTCTTTCACTTTATCGTTTGAATAAAGTATTATTATTATAAAAAAAGTGTTTTTTTTGTTCAGTTTCCATCTTTTTAAATGAATTTCGGTTCACTTTCAAGCAAATTCGAGAGTGAAAAACGCCTTTTTCGTAAAAATCTAT